GTCAGCAGCCTCGGGACGTGGGGTGCGGCAGCAGAAGCGGCGCGGGCGGCTTCTGTGTGAGGAGAAACCGAGGCTGTCCGGCCTGGCGTTGCCTGGACAGGCCCCGGCGTGGGGCTGGACTTCCGGGCTGCCGTGGTTATTGCTTGTTTTTCAGGCCTGGTAGCCCCGGACGGGCTCCTCAGAGCGGCACCTACACGGCCCCGCGCCCTGGGGGCTGCCCCAGGCCCGGGGAGCAGCGGTGTTGTGTAAGGTCGTCTTGGGAGGGATCTCCGTCCTCTCTCCTGCCGTATTTACCTGTGTCATGGGAGGTGCTGATCTTTCCATGTTTAAATCCAGTAGTGGATGTGCAGGAGGTGGAAGAGAGAGTGAAACCTGGTACCATGGAGGATCTGAGACTGATTCCAGCACTCGCTGGTTGAATGCTTTAGCCCTTTTGTTAGGGGGTGTGGTGCTCTCTCTTATCCTGTCCTGTCTGAAGGCAGTCGCTCTAATTCTTTCTTTGCACAGGACACAACTTGCTGCACAAGAGAGTAAGAAAACCTCTACTTTGATGGTTATGTCACTTCTGATAATTTATACCAAGTGATATAGTCACGTGCGGGAGGACCAGCAGATGAGTATCACCATTCCCAGATGAGAGCCCTAATTCTGACATTGATACTTGAGGTTTCTCTCACCCTGAGCTAAAAAATAATTAATTACAGCGAAGCAGAACAGCTCCAACAGGAGTGGAGGACTGCAGTGCACACCCATATTTACCCCCTGAATATTGTGGAGCACGGGAAGTTGAGGTTATGGCTGGTAAAGGTTCAGTTCTTTCAGGCGAAGGAATATAGTTAATGCTGGACTTCCTGTATCCTGAATTGATGTTCCCCAGCCTGAGCTATTGAATTAGAGGCAGGACATCCCTGGATTTAGTCAAAAAATAGAACCCCTGCCATAATGCTGCCTCCCAACATGCCAAAAGCAGTAATCAAAAATACTCTTTCTGTCAGTGACAGAAGGATGGGATGGGGGATAGGGTGGTGTGTGGTCAGGAAACTCCAGCTGTGAACTGACAGCTGAAGGCTAAACATGGAGACTAGAAATAAACTATATTGATAGTATTGTCAGTTTCCTCTCTGTTTTTCCAATTACAGTCTCCCTTTCATTTTCATGCCAGGATCTTCTGGAATTCAAATTTGAGATGCTTTACATCACCTATGTTAAGTCTTGGTGCTAAAGATACTAAAATGTAAAATAGAGTTAACTCTTGTCAGGGCCAAGAAGTAAGCTTTAGTAACTTCTATATGTGTGAGAGAGTTTAGGGAGACATCACCTACTTGAACTAAATTTGTCACCATCTAAATTTCACTTTTGAGTACAGCTGACACCCAGCCTATGTTTTCTTGATATTTCAGTATGTCTGGGCAAGGTTTGAAATAAGGGGAAAACTAAGCCTGTGTGTTAGACCTGCTTTGAAATATTTCTGTGTGCCAACGTTGTACTCTTTCCTTCATTTTGGTAGTGGTAGAGATAATGTTTTAGAAAAAACATCATGTGTTTATGAGATGGCACTAGCTGCAGAAGGTATCTAACAATGTGCATTGTGTAATCTTTTATACAACGGTGCGTTTCCCATGATAAAGTCATGCATTTAAAATACTATATTTTCCTATTTTTTGCCGTACTTAATTGTTATCTAAGTTACTGCTAGTGTTTTTTTTTCCCGGATTTGCTCAGCCTAACAACATACTAAGTCCATGCTGCTTGAATGCTGACATTACAATACAGAACTACTGAGAAAGTCAGTCGTTTGCTTCACAATTTAGAGCAAACTTTTCATTCAGACTTCCTCTGAAGCATCAGAGCGCAATTCTTGCTGAGCGAAGCATTGTTACTCGGTGCCACTGCAGCAGCGACACTCTGGCTGTCCAGGTCAACCTACTCCAGAAAAGCAACCAAGTACACGATTAAGGTTTTTTGACATTAGCACATACTAAAAATCATAAATAAAATGGTTCCCTCTAAGTTTAGATTTTATCAAACAGTTCCCCAAAAGTACATGGTAAAGAAGACAATGGGGATGTTCCTTTGCTTTAGTGTTAGATGCATCAGGAGTTTTAATGTGTTCTATAAATTCTGTATTTACCTGTGATTCTAACTACTCTAGATTTTAGTGAATTATTTCAGTAAACCAAGTGCAAGACACAGAAAAAAACCTTTTGTTTAAAAATTAAAATAGGTATTATTCAGTAGCACAAGACTAATTAATAGTACAGCCTAAGCTGAAAGTAGAAACAATAATGTGCATAGGTTCCTGAATTCCTGTCAATAGGAATTTAGTGCATTAGCTGAAAATAATGACATTTTTCCTGGTTACTTTCAAATAACGTGTTGACACCCAAATGAATGGCTGAATCTTTTCAGTATCATTCTGATGTTTAAAAATAATAGAGTTCTGAGTGTGTTTATTAAACATACTGCTTCCCTCCACCCCCCACCCCCAAATGAGAATTTCTGTAATTTGTAATCTGATTTTAATGACAAAAAAAAGCCTCCAGTAAATAAGCTTGTCCTAGGACAGATGAGCCCAGCTGGATCTGAGGTCCCGGGAGCTGGCTACACAGTGGTCAGAGGCAGAAGGACTCCAAGTTCTCAGGGAGAATTGTGTTGGAAATCACACTGCTGACATGTTTTTTGATTGCATCTGTTCTCTGAGCTTTTCCTTGTCTCACCTGGTTGTTATTAACACGCGTGCATACACACACACAAGAAGTTCTGAAGCATTACAATTTGTTACATTTCAATGTTTTAAGCTGAATAACTAAAGTGTCCAAAATCTGGAAGTTCGAAAGTTTAGGCTTATCCTACAGCAGGGATGCTTAGTCAACTGAATATTAGTCATTGTTCCTGTTTTTGGCAACTGCATGTTAGTCATTGTCCTCAAATTTTGCACTTTGATCATAGTAAAAATTGCTGATAAGTGGGTTTTTGACTTGCAGGGCCATGCATGTCCTGATAGTCTGCCAAACCATACTAACAAAATTTACGGACTCACTGTAGCTGTGTGGTTAGAAGGTGGTCCACAAGAAAGCACGTGTGGAGGCAATAGCATGATGTTTGAGAAGTTCAGTTGGTACCGCCTTTTGCAAACTAGTGAAACCAAATGGATTTAATTAATTTCATTTTACATGCCTTGTCATTGGTACTGGGCATTTTTAAAGTAGAATCATTTTTAGAAGGCGCTTCTGTTAAAAACAAGGAAAAAAATCCCATTTAAATATTACTTGAAGGAACACCCTAGGGAACCACAAAATTTTAACCCTTACGTGATTTCACTGTTGACCAAGTAGCTGAAGAGCTGAGCAAAAGGGCTACGCGATCACTCGCTGTTAACACTAGTATGTGGGGGGCATAGCCAGGTTCATAGGCAAGAGATGTATGTATGCAGTGGCTCCTGCCTTAAGGGCCTTAAATTCAGGTGGAAACAGCATTAGAATAAAATAATCAAGTGCTGTGCTGTACTGGCCTCTGAGGTAACGTTGCCTAAGAGGTGACTCTACATAACTGAATACAAACCTTTCTCTGTTCTCCTTAGCTTCATCTCTCTGCTGTGAAACTGGCTGAGTTGCACAGTGATCTAAAAATACAAGAAAAGGATGAGCTAAGCTGGAAAAAACTGAAGGCTGAAGGGCTAGATGAAGATGGAGAGAAAGAAGCCAAACTTAGACGCAACTTAAATGGTAAGATATATCTTTGCAGAAGAGGGTTAGGGTCATGCACATGCATGGTTAGACACCTGTGTTTGTGTTTGAATCATTAAATAACTGTCTGTCCATCAAGACACTGAGCACAAGGGGTTCTTTGGAGGTCAGTACGGAGCTGCAGGAGGCTAACAGCTGATGTTGTCAGAAGAAGCCATTAAACCTTGGATCTCTGTGTCTTAAACTGTTAGACTGTCCACTGTGAGCTGCAAATTCCAGCTCTGCAAGTCAAGGATGTAACCAACCTCTCATCTTCCATACATCCATGGTTCTAATGTCTCTGTATCTTCTACTTTCCTGCAGTCATTATGACTAAATATGGAATGAATGGAAGGAAAGACTCTCAACTAGTTGATACCAACTACATTAAAGATGGTACAGAAAGCGATACGCTAGATGATCCAAGACTGGAAAAATTATGGAGTAAGGTGGGTAAGATTTTCAGGAACTGCAGGTTAGGCAATCAGTGTTTCTTCACTGAACTACAGCCTGTCTTCTGAGAGTCCCAAAACTTGAGATTGAATGGCTTTACTACTCTGGTTTTAAGTACTGGCCAAGCTGCTGTGCTCTGTAGCTCACATCAGTGTGCTGTGAGGGCCTCCCACCTGCATCCAGGTCACCAGGTGTGGCAAATTCTCTTTGCCACAGAAAACATGGTTTGCATGAAGGGTAAGATCCCGAGTCCACTAAAGACAGAGTTTTTCCTCAAATTTCACTGCATTTGTGATTTCCCTTTGTGTGACTATTAGGCTGTGTGGTCAAATACCTTGGCTGTTTTTTCCTGGGTTGATTCTGGACTTTTTAAAAAGATGTATTTAAAATAAAACTATTTCATAGAATGTTTAAAAATAAAATGTATAGTAGGGGTGTTAAATAAGGATTTTCCCAGATTGGTATTCAAGTGAACCTTTCCAGGATCTGCATTATTGCATTTAAAAGAAATAGGAAGTGTACTGTTTGTTTGGACAGTTAAAACTGGAAAAATCATAATCTTCATAACTGAAATAATTCAGGGTCTTAAAAATAAGTAGTCAGGTAAACCAAAGAACTCTTGGACCAGTCTAGTGCAGTGGTAGTAAAGCAGAGAAAAAATTTGCTGGGTTTTAAAATGTTGCTGTAACTAGATACAGCCCTGGGGAGGGACGTGATGTCATGTGCTTTGGGGAACAGTAAAGTGCATTAGATAGAAATATTTCCTAAGCAAAAAAGGGCTGGGGCTGAATAGGTATCAAAAACATCCACTTTTGATTGTGCAGTGCAGCAAACAAGTCACCAGATTTGTGGGCAGTGGTCCAACTGTCAGACCAGCCCTTCCCTAATTGCTTAAAAGCAGTCCAGCAAGGAACAAATCACTGCAGAGCCAATGCACAGCAGTGATAACATCTTCACTTGCCAGTGCAGTAAAATTAAGTAAAGACTCTGCTTAATATCAAGCTGCATCCCTCCTGCAAACAGTCCCCTTACAGTTACACATGGAGGTCCATGGCCCTTATTTCTGTATCAAAATGTTTCCCATAGAATAGGAATGACAGGCACTTTTCACTGGATACTCCGTAGCAAGTTTCGCTTTGTAAGTCTGAAGCAAACTTCATTTTGAAGTGATTAAAGCCACCATACCGTTGATGTCTATATCCTGCCCTCATACTAATGTAAAGGGGTTTAAAACAAATGATCGTAAGGGAAAGCTGGACTTAATAATTTTCTAAATGTGGTGGGAAGTGTGAAGAATTTTTGGCAGTTGAGTGCACTTAAAAGCACTTGGCCTGGGAAGCATAATGAACTCATGTCTCTTTCAGGCCAAGACCTCTGGGAAGTTCTCTGATGAGGAGTTGGATAAGCTTTGGCGAGAATTTAAACATCACAAAGAAAAGATTCATGAATACAATATTCTGCTGGAGACTGTGAGCAGAACAGAAGGTGCCTCAACATTTCTCTGATGTTTCGAGATCAGTACTACTCTCTGCCCATTGCTTCCATTGTTTCCAAGCTTCTTTGAAACTCCTGAAGCCTGACATTTCTGTCAGAACTGCTTGCGTATGCTGACATTTCCAGATACTTGCTGGGTTTAGTTCCGAATTAGCTGCCAAAAATCTTGTCAGCTAATGGAAATGTTGCCATTTCAGTTTTTTGATCCTGCCTGTGTTTCAAGCAGGGAAGACACCACCAGATTAGCAGTATTGGCCATAGTAGTTTACTGGGAATTAAGCAGCAAGCGTAGATCCAGTGCTGAAAAATGTGGTCCTGAAGCCTGCAGAACATGCATGTTTTATCTCACCAGCTGGGAGCCTGGGAGGATATACTTGAATATTTTAGGCACTGAGCCTGAGGTGTGTGAAAGCATCGAGGATCTGAAACCAGCTTGCTGTACTGAGCCTAGCTAAAATTTAGAGCCAAAGGATTCTAAAGCTTATAGGCACTTGGATGTTTGCATTGTAGAGTCCAAGCTGGAAGCTGCTGGAAGTCATTTCAGTATCAGATGTCCTGATTGGTTCATGAAGGGCCAAGGGAGGAGGGCACAGGACTCATCAACCATCCCTGTCCCGTTTCCTTGGGATATTGCTAACCTAGGAAAAGAAGAACATTTCCTTACTAAAATCTTGGCTGGTGGCCAGTAGTAGTTAAAAGGCATTTCTGTAATAGCACCATCCAGAGCACTGAGGGGTATTGATCTTAATATTGACCTGCAAAAGCAATTACTGCCTCTTAGAGTGTGATGTTGATGCTTTATTTACACTCAGCTCAAACGCTAAGAACTTGGCATCTTTTATCCACCTCAGATTTGAGGGACTTGGGGAGCTTTTGACATACTGGGATAAGGCCCACAATCAATAACCCTTTTCTTCTTCAACAGATATCCACAAAAATGTTATCAACCCATCTGAAGAGAACCTGGTGAAAGAGGAGATCTTGCACAACAAACACAGAGAACTCAAAGACAAGCTAAGAAGCATCAATCAGGGGTTTGAGCGTTTGCGTAAAGTCAGTCACCAGGGATATGATGCAACCAGTGGTATGACAAAGTGGGTTTTATCCTTATTTGGGATTAATTTAATTTAATTTTAAAAACATCAGTGGGCAAGTAAGAAGATGGAGTCACTGTATCACTGTACATGGTGTGACCACAATGGGCTGAAGAGATAGAGCCAGCCTGTTCTATTTAGAAGCCAACACTAGAGGCCTAATGAAGGGATAGGGACAACCTGTAAAGGGGATAGTTCTGCCTTCCATTCCCACATGAGAAGGGATATATCGCCTTCAGCCCCAGGAGGGCAGGTAAATGAGGCAACATGCAGGACCAAGTAATGGCGTTACTCAGTTTCCTGTGGGACTTTCTGCTTTTTAAAAAACATTTGCTACAGCAATACCATAGTTTCAAGTTAAGTACTTGGACTTTTTCTCCCTTTTCATTTGAATAGACCTATTGGTAATGTAGTGCTTAATATATCGGTGTGTATGTATGTGAGAGAGCATGCTCATCTTGCCCAGAAGCTGGGCGTGAAACCATTGTGTCCACATTTTCAGTCAGTGGTATGTGTTTGTTTAGAATTTGAAGAACCAAGAGTGATTGACTTGTGGGACATGGCCAAATCAGCCAATTTCACTGAGAAAGAACTTGAATCTTTTCGGGTAAGTAGAATTCCAGTTACATCTTTTATGGAAAAATACTTTCCCACATAAAGAAACATTTGCTGTTGCTCTGAGTGCAGCCATTCCTGTACTGCTCTTCAGACACCATAAAAGAGAATCAGGTGTCTTTCTTACTGTTTCACATACATGAACGTGAATGTTACTAGTCACATGCATGGGTTCTGTTATAATCTGCAAAAGGAGAATTCTGAATCCTGTGAAAGCAAGCGTTGTAATTTTAAATGCTTGAAAGATCAGGCCCTGCTTGTTTGTTTCCAGTGCACCGGATTTCCCTCTCTTGCCCAGTGTCTTAAGGTAATCACTTCTTTGGGAAGCAGTGTACTTCATATACCCAACAATTTCACTCTGATGCCCACCTAACTTGCCATGTTGGAGCAGTGTTGAACCCACACAAAAGTACCACAACAAAGACTGCTTTTCAAAGAAATATTATAGAAATTAATTCCTGTGGGGTTCATACTGGGATTTTTTATTATGACTGTTATTCAAATTGCATTGAGAGGGTTTTTTTTTCCTATGACTGCCCGTTTTTCAGAATAGATTTTAATTGATAGCCTGGAGAAGTAACTCTTCAGGACTTGTTCATGGAATTGCATGTACTTACAATGTTGTCTTACCCTCCAAGTCATGGCAAGGGACACCTTGAGCTTCTTTTCTGGATAAGGTAGACAGAGAGTTGTAACTTCCTGGGATGGGGGTTGAAAGCTGTCTCTTGGATATCAAAGATCCATCTTAGTTCTCTTAACTCACATGCAGCCTGATTCTCATATGAAGCAAACATGGTAATTACACTGATTTCAGTAGCCCCGCTTTTAGGGGTGTCAAAGGGAAGCCTGCTAAGTCTGCAAGGAGGCTCTGCTGACCTCAGTGGGACATCTTGGTCAGGACTGTACAGTTGCGCGAGAGGTAAATTTGGCCTTCATATCTACTGCAGTGAAAAGGAAAAAAGCAGTTTCATAAGCAAGAACACATACCTGCTTATTCACTTTACTGTTCTAGTAGAGATCTTCATTCATGCAAACCCTGTTCACCAAACCAAACCTGTCTTGTTACTGTGGGTGCTGGGACATACTAACAAAAGTAGGACAGTAAGAATCACAGTGAACCATCTGCCTGTTCAAAATATCCACAAAAGCAGAATTAAAGAAATCATGTGCTGATCCCATTCAGCCTTGTTTGAGCAGCTGAAGTTACGTCTTCTGAGTGGCCACCGGAAAAAAACCAAAGCCTTCATAAAGCTTTCATAACAAAAGACACAAGTGCTGCTTTGCTGGGACGTAGCTGAGAGGAGCGGCTGAAATGATTTATCAGAGCAGTAAAACCGCAAGCTGAGGTCCTGAATGGGGTATGTAGAACAGGCTGGAGTGTTCTGCAGCAAAATGAAACTATTTTCTTGTCATAACAAGACCTTTGTTTTGTTGAAAACAAAATCCTTCTGCTTTAAAAACTGAAGATCTATTGGGATGATGGATTTTTTTTCTTAATTGTCCTGAAAGGAGACGAATTTTGTCATCCACCTGGACTGAAACAAACCAGTGACCAAAATTAAGTGGACTCTGTCAAACAGCGGGATTTCACTGTAGGGTCTGTCTGAGTTTTTGGGATCTAATACATAGAACTGCTTCCGTAAGTGGCATAACAGTTTGTACTGTTCATATCCTCGTCACAGAGGACGTGTCCTAAGACACAGAGAAACTGAATTTACTGCCTTGAAGTGGCAAAACAAGAGGATGCTTTTGAGGGTGGACATATTGCTCCTTCTTTGGTCCCCCTTGCAGTGTACCGGGTTATCTGAGGACTGTCTCTGATGTGTTCTTGAACGCGAAGTCTGGCCACTGTCCTTGGGACAAACTGTTAATTAATTCATCCTATTTCAGATTCATCATAGCAGACTGCATACCCAGAAAGCATTTAAGTCTGAGCAGAAAATAGCAAACCTAGGACCTGATTTTGAAAAGAAGCTTCTCTTAAAAATTGTCTGTTTCCTTCCCCCGATCCATTATTCTTACATATAACCTTTTATTTGGTATTTGCTGCTGTCATCTCCTACACCTCACAGCCACGAGCCTCTCCTTTTGAGGATTCTGCAGTGGGATGTTTTCAACACCTGCCTTCAAAGTTGGGTGTCTGGGTGGTGACGATAGCGTATTGTCCAGACATTCTTAAGAAGCAGGGAATTAATTGAAAAAGCTGTGAAGATGTGTGTATTTTGTCATCTTAGGAGGAGCTGAAACACTTTGAAGCAAAAATTGAAAAACACCATCACTATCAGAAACAATTGGAGATTTCGCACCAGAAACTGAAGCATGTAGAGGGAACTGGAGATAAGGATCATCTGAACAGAAACAAAGAGAAATACGCCATGCTGGAAGAAAAGACAAAAGAGCTAGGCTATAAGGTCTGTATAAATCCAGCGTACACACGTGTTGACAGTCTAATGCGGTAGTAGAAGGTATGTAGATTATCCAGTGCTGATTTTTCATCCAAGTTGAATGACTTCCAGAGGGGGAGTTAGAGGCCCACCTGTGCTCCGTGTTTAGTACAGGACATGCATAACCGGTTTTCATATACCTAATTCTGAAATGTCTGACGGCTCCCTGGTCTCTGCTCTTCCTGGTGTCACTTATACTGGGAGCAAAAGCTGAATGTGTGATATTGATAATTTGCTGTCTTACTAAAATTTGTTTGATGTGTTGTTGTTTTCCTGCTAGGTGAAGAAGCACTTGCAAGACTTATCCAGCAGAATCTCTCAAGGTCTTCAACACAATGAACTATAAAACCTCTTCATGGGATCAATCTATTAACAAGTAATGTGGGTTTTGGACTTGGATTTACCAAGGACTCCTTTTGAAATAGTAAAGGATTGAACAGAGTTGTCCTGTAAGAAAAAAATTTTTTGGCCCACTTAATTGCCAGTTTTGTATTTGCACTGCCAATCAAATGAAGTTATTAGATTATGAATTTCAGTTGCACATCTCGAATCATATAAATCTGACATCTGAATCAAGTAACAGCCTTTGAAATAAGCAGTCATGTGAACCCTCAGAGGATTCCTGCTAGTAAAAAAAACCCCACTGATCTGATAGAAAAAGTATTCTTGATCGCTGAAAGCCAACACTGAGGTTCAGGAAGCTAAAACAGAGGCTAGAAAAGTCTTTTATTTCAATGCTTTTTTTGAAGGTAACAGAAGTGTTTCTGCTGACTGAGCAGTGGCTCAGAGCTGCACTGAAAATGGATCTTTCATGTCTGAGGGGGAGGAAGAGCAAGGAGGGAAGAAGTACTGAGGTCAGTTTAAGCAATCTAGTTGTAGACTAACACATCTGAAGTTACTGAATGTACGTGCACAGTGATCTTGTTCATGGTTGCTTGGTTTTGTTACACTTAGTCATTAAAAAAACCCAAGATACTCGTGAGGCTTTTTTGTTTCTTCCTTCTTGTTTAGTAACCAGACCTGGGTTTTGAGACTGTTGCTTGTTCCTTTAAAGTGAAATTCACTCACGCATTAGTTTTTAAGACAGGAGGGTAGTTCTGCACCACGAGAACCTGTTCCTGTGTTCTGAACAGGCAGAAGGCTCTCTAAAGCAGCTTCTCTCTGAGCACGCATTCCAGTACAATCCCCAGTAATGACGATTATCACTTTCCCTGCCGAGACCAGAGTTTTCTGTTGTGCCTCAGAACCTTGGCAAACATTAGCCATCTGGGTTGACATTTTCTGTATTAATAATGCTGACCCTTTATTTCTTTGGAGTGTTTCACATGAAGCTGTTCCAGGAGCGAGGTTAGGGCGAAGGTCCAGTGCAGGTAAATCATTACAGCTGCTTGGTTAAGAAGCAGTACCTGCATCATCTGACAGGTCTATTTTCATCAGTATTTTCAGTTTTTGGAGGCAAATGCAGAAGGGAAATGTATTCTGTACTGTGTGTGGAAGGTGCAGGCTTCTGTATGTTCTTCAGTTTCCCCTTTGGCAGAGTAAGGGACAAATCCACGTGGCACGGGTCAGTTTGGTGGCTGTACTGTGGATGTGGCAAGGCCTGCACCGCTGGCTCCTGGGTGGGGGTTTGAACACATGCACCGAATGCGCTGGCAGAAGAAAGGAACAAAGCAAAGCACGGAGCAATTCCTGCTCAGCAGTCCTAGCTGGGTGCACAAGAACGGAAAGGCTTTTACTGAGCACGGTCAGATCCTGCTGCTGGGGGAAATCCATTGCACAAGGAAAAGCACCGTGAGTATCTCAGCCTGTGATAACGGTGCGCAGGGTGGCTGGATGCTCCGCGCGAGAGGGCACAGCAGAAAGCTGTGTTTCATCCTCACTGTGTGCCTGAAACAGTATGGTTGAAGAATTTTTGAAGAATTTTGGGATGGCATGGAGTGCTGGATTCACGGACACATAACCAGGGTGAGATCCACAGGAATTGTTGTCTCCAAGAGCAGAGCTGCTTCAGCACAGGCTGAAAACAGGTGGTGGCTGTACCCTGTCTTTACCCACCACACCAGGACGGTAATGGGGTTCTGAGGCCAGGTAGGCTGAACGCTCGGCAAGCGCTTCAAAGTACAAGAGACTGACAAAATATTCACGTGTCGCAGTAATTTAAAGTTGGGAACGAGTCACGGATCATCAGCACAGTCTCCTCACTGTAGTTATTTAACGTATCTGTTAATGAGTCATCAGGCCCAAAGATGGTTCACACAGACTTCACACAGACCTAGAGGAGAAAAAACAACAAAACAAGCAGCAGTGGTTGCTGCCCCTGCATCCACCTTCCCCCCGAAACCACCGGTAGCTATGTTAGAGGCTGCAACAGCACAGAGAAGACATTAGGAATTGCCTCCCTTCCTGTCAAGGCACACTGGGAATTTCCCTACTTTCTCAGATCTGCAGATCATGCAGAGGGTAGAGAGTTCTAAAGTCTGATTTCACTCTTGTTTCTGTAGTCACACGTGTGTGCACAACTCAGTTAATTGTTGCCGTTTTTTAAGGATCCAAAGACAATTTGTATTGCCAAAATAACAAGGGTGGGTAGTCTTTGAGATGTTAAAAGATTTAAAAAATAGCTTCAGTCACCACTCTTGTGTTTCTGTAAATAGAAACAAAAACGCAAAGGCAAGAAAAAAGGTATAAATGAAACATTCCTACAGTCCTGTACCCAGTGAGGGGTGAATAGTGGGGTTCACAGGTGAGACTGCTGGGAAGAGGAGTCTGGATAGGAAAGAACTAATTTAAACAGCGGTTGAACCTTCTCCTCTTCCTTGATTGGTTTATCTGATCCTTTACTGATCGCACAAATTATCAAGTTTTTCCAACCACTCTGAGAAACGATTTGAAATACAAAAGTGGGAGCAGCAGCAGGAAGAAATGCATTTCTTAGGAAAGAACATAATCAGAACCTTTTCTGTCATATACAATCTGTCAAATTCCGCCCCAAAAAATAACCTCGATTTAAATAAATGTGTCGGTGGTTTCATGTAGGACAGATTTTATTTATTAAACACGTTGGGGGTGGAAACTAGAGGGAAATAAATACATAAAGCATTAAATACAACAAAAATAACCAAGTCTGCCTTAAAATAAACACGATGTCCTACACGCTGGTAGAGGAGCGAAGATTCTACCAAGACAAATGAGAAACAGGCAGCCACTGCAGCAGATGTAACACTTTCCCCTCTCCCCTCCGGAGGGATTTTGGTGATGAAAAGCCCAGGCAGCAGTCAGACTGTTTAAATTCACCAAGTACAGCGCATTTACACTTAGTCGAGGTGTCATCTTGCTTCCCAGCCCCAGCTCCCAGCTGTGACCCAGTTCCTGCAGGTGGGGATCCCCCTGGATCCTGAGGGCTTTGGAAGGGCCTCAAGCCCCAAGGGGAGCAGAATCAGCTCCCAAACTCCCAGCTCAAGAGCAGAAGCCTTTCCCAAGCTCCCAGCCCAGGAGCACGAAGCACCCCTGTGCGCAGGCTGCCTGGATGCCGGCACGCAGGGCCTGCAGCTCTGCCCCAGTAGGCCTCACGCCCTGCTCGCCCCCAGGGAGCTGCCAGGGGCCCTAACGCACCCTACTTCCAGTGCTGCCGTCTGTCGGATACCTGAGTTCAGGCAAATTCGTGCGGTTAGTTGCACCCCACAAAAGCACAGCAGTCGCCAGCCCCGGTGTGCCACAGTGCCCAGGAACTGGGAGCCAGGAGGGCCCTAACCCAGGATTGCGTGTCGAGCGCCCAAGCACAGCGTTCAGCTCGGGGCCAACCAGGCAGAGCTGACCCGCACGTCACGTCCCTGGGACACAGCAAACTCATCCCCACACACCTTCCCTGTCCCCTGCCTCAGTGAGGCATTCGGGTTTCAGGCTTGTTTGTTTAAAAAGGTGCCATTTCACATACAAAAATCTGCCAGTAAGCGCTACACGGGCAGTTCTGAAGTAATTTTTAAATACATTTTTTCTTTCCGTATCATTTAATGAGAACAGAAGTAAATAAAAAAGTCATGAAATAAAAGTCAATAAACAGCCTAGACTGTTGCTTTCGATACAGACAGACCTGCCCTTGTACAGAGCACGGGGGGTGGTGAAAGGCAAAGACTGCATTTTCCACATGCATTATGTGACCTTAATGAGCGGCGGCTAAAAACCAGGTCAGCGTTTCCAAACGCAACACGCAGTTAACACGTACTTCGGGCCATTCACAGGGCACCTATCGGGAAGCAGGTTTTTAGTCTACAGAAAAAAAAAGACATCTCTATGCATTTCTTTCACTAGCAGCCCGAGTCATAAAGTGGAAGCATTCATAAAATCTGTCCAGTTGAGCCAAAATAAATGTATAAACTTTCATCCACATTAAATATTTCAAGTGGTGCCGTATTTGGTAGAGCAATGATTGTAACCCAAATGCTTTTATCAACAGCCCTTAAGTCACTTACGTGTCCAAATCTTCGTGTATGTTATCCCACCGCCCAGCAGAGCACTCTCCTAAATCGCAAAGGAAACAATACACTGATATGAATGCTTCACACGTGAACGTAAATTAGCGGATACATTCATTTAATGTGCAGATGTTTTTCCTTCTCTGAAGTGTTAACTTAGAATCATAGAATGGTTTGGACTGGAAGGGACCTTAAAGACCATCCAGTTCCAACCCCCCTGCCATGGGCAGGGACACCTTCCACTAGACCAGGGTGCTCAAAGCCTCATCCAGCCTGGCCTTGAAGACATCCAGGGATGGGGCATCCACAGCTTCTTTGGGCAACTTACCAGAAAGCTGCAGACATCCATTTTAATAAAACTGATCATTTTTGGTCTCTAATGTTGCCTGGCAAGAATTGGTCTACTGTAACTTAAACCTGGTGGTTTCTATAGGGCAAAGTGAGTGTTGAATCACTTTGAAATAAGCTTCTCGCTATAAAATAAAACATCAATGTTCTGCAGTTAGAGTTTTCTAGGCAACTTTAACAGGGGAAGGGAGCTACATTGTTTTAAGAAGAAACACTGAGAACTGGAAACCTACATGTGAAACCAAGTAAGTCGTAATGCTTGGCATCAAATCCGAGAGCCTAACCTCAAATTTCATGTCTCTGTTTCTAAGTCAAGAAAACACCTGGACGAGAACCATCATCTAAAAGGTCCTTCAGTGGAGAAAGGGTTCATTCTCCAATCTCAATTCAGCTCCAAGTCTGGGACTTCTGTTTACAATTCTGAATGTGCCCAGTCACAGTGTGAAGTCTTCATTCAGACCTGTTCCGGCCAGACAGACACGCTGAAAGGAGTATCTGGTGGCAGCAATGTCCCAAAGCAGCCACCTGGGACTTAGGCGCCGCGGGAGATGCATTCTCACAGCCGTCACTCATGGTCACTAGGGTCATATGCTGTAAAAAGCACAGGGACGGCAAAGATTCATTTAGGGACCAGTTCCTGGGCTGTCAGTAGACCTGATCCATCTCTACGACTGCTCTCCTAGCATCCCACCCATCTCCCAGCTGCTGTAAATACCACTGGCAGAGCTGAGCACAGCATTAGGTGCACCTCCACGGCACGTAGCAGGGCCCTG